AACACTGGAAAGGATATAGCACTGAGACTAGCTTATATTTAGCTACTATTGAAACATGAGGGTACTTTTGAGAAAAAGCCCCCACCCTGAAAATATTTCGGAAAAGATTGCAAATGCTGAAATTACAAGTTTTTTTCTAAAGGTGATCGAATATATTTCTCAAAGAGAGCTGAATAATGCCTGCCTCACAGTGACAGACGAGTTTAAACTTGCTGCTTTTTACGCTTTTTCCTTTCTCCAACTTTATTTTACGGATTGAGAGAAATCAAAATTAGGAATACGTCTATTGTACAGGTTTAAAGTCTCAGGGACAACAGAACGATCATTCATGACCATGAAAGCAGAAAAATGGGCGCTGATTTTGAGAGCTTTTATGGGTTTTGAGCAGTAATTACTAGATAATTCTTATATATATTCCCGGTTTTGAGCATGTTCTCAAATCACTGTTCGAACACTTTGTGCGCCAGTTTCATAGGATTGTCAGTGGTTACTGTAAACTTAATAGCAATACAAAAACCATGCTCATGATGGTTTCCTTGGAAAATGTGTTTGTTATTGGTTCTGTCACTCTCAAGTTTCTCTGAATGTTCTCTTTTTATGCATTAATGTATAAATGGGGTAAGTTTCTAAAGAAGCTGTGGTGCAGCGCTGGTAGGGGAGTATAGGAGGGTGGCCAATTTATGTTATCAACTCAGTTGATAATACTAAATTACCCTATTAATATAACAGTTGGTTGATCTGCCCACACAAAAGGTGTGCAAGATTAGTGTCAAGTGAAGATTCTGTGAGTGAGCAATAAGTTATGTGTGACTGCTGTACTGAAAATGTGTGCTTGCTCTTTTAATTATATGTTTTGAACTATTTTAGTGGGCTGGCTTAGAAATGACACAAGATTGTTTAAATGTTTGTATATTAACCAAGGTGCTTATTATTTTTTGTATCTAGTTTATTACATCTTCAATATATATTAATCTAATATTCAAAAGGAGGCCAAGTGTTATGCACCAAGGCTTAAACTTTGTCTTGAAATCAGCATTGATGGGATGTTGAAATGAAACAAATTTAACTTATTTTGAATATGTCATCATCCACAAAATATCAAATGACCTAGATGCTTTTCTTTTGATTCATGGCAGGGTGTCAGAATCATCATAGAAAATAAAAGAACAACAGGAGAAGGTGCAGTGTTTGATAATTAAATGATATGTTTCTTCCAACTTCTTAAATTGTTAGTCTCAGTGTGCATTCCCTTGAAATGTAAGAAATAAGTGAATGATAATTAATGGAAAGGTGGAGATAAATAAACCTCAAATTTTTGTAAACCCTTGATCTCCCTTGAGTAACCAAGACAAATTTTCTCTTAAAAATATCAGGGAGGGTAGGGAGGCTGGGGGTTACAAATGACCTGGAAATTCTCATTGAATTTACATTTCATCTGTGGCTTTAAACCTATACACTTACTCTGACCACCTGTGTGGCAATGAACATATGAACACAACAGTAATGCGGTAAAGATGTCACAACCAGTTTCATCTATTTGTTTTTCTTCATAATCAGTTTTGTGAATGCCTACAGCACACCAGTTCCGATATTTTCATCTAGAAAAAAAAAAATGAAAACACGCCCCTTCGTTTGCCAAATTTGATCTAGTTTTGCATATTTTCTTCACCATCCTGCATTCTCCCAATTTCCAAGAAAAATGGGATAGGATATGTCTTGAAGCATTTAAAATCCTAGTAAAGCCAAAACAGTCAAGAGTATTAATTAACTGGATGAACTCCAAGCTAGGGTCAATTCTCAATAAATCAGATCTAATTTTTCCATGCTTTTAAATGTATCCTTGTTTTTGCATTGATTTGGCTCTCTTGGACTAAAAATATGTTTGTTTAATTTAACAGACTCACAACAGGCTCTTCCATATTTAGAAATTAAGGAAGAAGCAAAAGGTGAAGAGAGGAAACTGCCCATACTTCCTCCCCCTCCTTTGGAGTTATGCTGCATGAGTGGCTGTCAGAACTGTGTTATGATTCAACATGCTGAGGAATTAATAAAGATGTATGGTGATGACTCAGCAGCCAGAGCTGCTCTGGAAGAAATTCCAGATGAGGGTCTCAAAGCTTTCCTCAAAATGGAACTAATGCTAAAAAAATAGCTCCAGACAAATGTTTGTTCTTTTCAGTGTATTTCCAATAAACAAAAGGATAAAAAACTGCCAGTGATTGGTACATGTATATACAGATTACACTTCAAGTAATATTCCTAAACTTCTGAAAACACAAGTGATATTAATCCTTAATTTTTACAAGGAAGCATTTTATTTACTTTTTTAACATAAAAAAAAACAAATTTTTCTTTTAGTAAGAAGCTAAAAAACACATGTTATTGTAAAGTTTCATATGAAGCCATTTCAGTGTCCCATCAAAATCAGTAAGTGCACAAATCAGCTGACTGAAATTTTAATTTGTACAAAAAAGCTGAAGCATAATAATTTTAGGTAAAGTTGAGCATTTCTTTTGTTTAATTTTTTCAATTTCAAGTAATGTTTTCAAGGGCAATTAACAAAATTAATGAACAATTACATTGGCATTTGTCTCAGCCAATCAGCATTTGATAATGCCCTCTATGTCATAATAGAAGAAAATGGCTTGGGTGATGTGATGAGAATGATTTCTCAATTTAAAAGTATAGAATTGATGTCACAGAGTGAATAATACAGTCACTTTTGCAATCATCTCTTAGCTCAAACTCTGATGTGTACTGATTTTTTGAAGGGAATTGACACTAACCTAACTAAAACCAAGGATATGATGAAGAAAATATGCCAACAGGTATAGAAAACCATAAAGTTTAAGTAGCCAGAGTAACCTAAACTCAAAAGCTCTATAATCTGCTTCCAGTGCCCTTAGTGCTACTCTAGCCCCAAAAACGTAGGGTATCACTTCCAAAAAGCTCCTAAGAAACCCAGTATTCTCGTCTAGCTTATAGTATTTTACATATTGCACCAACAGTATAGTAATTAGCACAAAGAGGCTAGCGTCAAGACTCTCGAGCTCAAACAACCCCTCAAAAAGAAAAGAATTATTCGAAGTCAGCATCATTCTGTCATAGTACGACCCAGCTAAGGGATAGTTCAAGATCTTTGATCGCCTAAAAATTTTCTTCATCGATGACCAAATGCGAGCCGTGTAGTTTTCAGGTCTGTTCAAACTGGGATCACGGGAGACACGTTTTAAACATTCTTCTGCTGACTGGCGTAGGTGATGATTCAGAGGGTAATGTTTGGTGTAGATTTCAAGGGCTTGACGATAACTATAAGCTGCCTCACGAAGCTCACTACATTGTTCAAATACCATTCCAAGATTCAGCCATGTGTCACCTAGTTCAGAATGATCACTTTCCAATTTCTCCATCCGAATGTTCCTTGCTTGGAAGTGACAGTCTTTGGATTCCTCCAATTGTCCAAGATCCATTTACACCTGTCCCAGATTACTCAGTGCTTCTGCTATTGCGGGATGTTCTCGATCTAACACCCTCTCTCTAATAGATAACGCAGATTTGAAGAAATCCATTGCTTTTTCGGGTTGACCAGCACCTCTGTGTACCAGTCCTAGGTTGTTGTAGGACTCAGAGATCACAAGGTGGTTGGGCTGGTACAGTTTCTTCCTCATTTCAAACGCTTCCTCAAGATGTTT